ACTAAAGCAAATTCATAATACACTGAGATGTTATGTGTAATTCTTTCAGTTTAGAAAGTTATGATGAACATTATATGATTAGCTTGCAGAGTAATAAGCATATGAAGAATCAACATTTTATTAAATTAGCATGTCATTTTTTGTTTGTGCAGCTTACTCTGTTTCAAATCACTACTATATCACATGTATTGTATATGTATCACATGTATTGTATATGCACATCTGTGCATATTCTAACAAAGTTTTCCGCTTATAGGTGAAAACTGCATATAATGAGTGAGGAGTGTAAGATTAAATAAAGATGACAAAACCTAACCCATTATGCCATGAAAACATAGTTGCTGGATCCTAAAAAAGAATTTTTAAAAAATGACATTCTATAACAACATACTGTTATAGTTTTCTTTTCAGAAATGTCTAATAGCTTGAAGACCAGGTAAGGAATGATCCAGCCAAAATTATGTAATATAAATGTCATGCAAATTTTACATTTTAGAGACAATGCATTTTCTAGCCTTTTAGTTTTACTTTATTTATTTTAGAAACTAGTGTTCTTTTTAGAAAACTGTTTCAATTTTACAAACACTTGAAGAATAATGCAACTTGTTTCATGGGGCTTAAAAGAGAACCACTACATGTAGAGGTTAATATCTTAAAATAGCCTCAGGCAGATTTTTCAAGTGTTATCTCTGTGTGTGCTTGCATGACATTAATTAAAATGCCAACTATTATAGGAAGCCCAATTTGTCCTGCAGTTTCATTTCACATGTGGACATGCCAATGCTGTATTGCTTTGTTCTTGAATTTCTAGATTGAGGTAGCTCTATTGTAAGGCTGATGAAAGAGTTGATGTGAGATTTCAGGTTAAGTTCACTGACTGCATTTGCAACCTGATAGTGACCCTGATAAATATGTCCTCAACTCTGAAATCTTACCTACAGTATGACTCTGTAAGCTCCCATAGGACACTGATGCTCTTCCTTTCTATACAATAGATTCTTCAGTATATAATTTTCAGTATCATAAGAGCAAAGTACATTTCAGCTTCTAGTAATAGCTAATGGTAATTCTAATCATCCTTGATTACTGGTATTACCCATCTTGGGAACTGGAGTCTAATACTACATAGATACCCAGATGTTCTCTCTCTGGTAAAGCAAATAAAGACCTTTCATGTGAAGAATATCAGTTTACGTGGGCCACGATTTATTCTTCCTTGTGTAATTTCTCCTGAAAATCAGTACTTTTCCCATCACCTATTTAATCCTTTTAACTAAGGAGTGAACTTGAGATGGTCAGCTTGCAAACAATATGTTCTTTCATCGAATATGACCCAGCAATCAAGGCAAATACTTATATTACTTATAATATAATTATAACAAATTATTAATTTGTTAACTTCCCCCTCCCAAGAAGGCAGTCAGTCAGTTTTGATGACTTGGTGACATATGGATAAATACACAGAAACACAGGCACACACACACACACACACACACACACACACACACACAAATCTTGACATTAATGAACTAGGCAAGATTTGGAATTTTTAAATATGGGATGAGATTATATTTCAAGTGAACCCTTAGATACCATTTGTTTTCTAGTAAAAATGGTGGAATATCCATGGATCTTCCTTATCAGTCTGCTACTAAAATAAGGAGACTCAATTTGTGAGTGGTGGGAGACAGAGTTTTCACGCCACAAAAAGGACTTGAGAAGTGCACATATATCCTATAGTGTGAGGATTCTGTAGTGTGCTTGTAAAAGCAACAATTGAGGCTTTACTTTTATTCTATTTTGAAATAATTCTCTATAGGTTTTCTGAGGGGAGTATTGAGCTGCAGTATGATTTTGGTAGTGCAGTGGTTAGAAAGCAGTATTGCAGGCTAACTGTCCACAGCCAGGAGTTCGATCCTGAAAGCGCTCAAGGTTGAATCAGCCTTCCATCTTTCTGAAGTTGGTAAAATGAGGACCCAGCTTGTTGAGGGCAATATGCTGTCTCTGTAAACTGCTCAGAGTAACAGTACATAAGTCTAAGTGCTATTGCTAGTAAGGAACAAACTTGTTATGCTCAACCACCCTGCCACGTTCTTATGAACCTCAGAAGGGAATGGGGAAATTAAAGGCAATAAAGAAATGTCTTCTTTGGATGGAGGACATACTCAGAATTTGCAGATGAATTATTCTAGGAACTACAGACAGACAGGGCATAAGACTTTGCAACTTGAAACCCACAAATACATTCTCTTAATGTCCAAAGGTTGTGCAAAACTTTCAGAAGACTGCTTCTGAACCCAGGGAAGCCTATACAAAACATTTCTACTCACTTCCTTAATGCAACTACAACAGCAAGATTAAGTGGGTTTGCATGCTCTAACACATGGAAACAACTGAGAGCAGCTTCCAGAAGAGCAATCCAAGCTTGGAAAAAAGAGGTGGGTGCATTCAAAGCTTAAGATGTTTTTTGAATAGTCTCTGTCTTCCACTTTCCAAATTGCTATTGCAATCATAAAGAACAATGTGAAATAAATAGCCTTAAAATTAGTTTGTCAGCAAAACAATGCTATTAGGGGGAATAGCCCAAAAACACATAGTTCTTTTATTTCTAGCATTTTGTAAAAAAATGTGAGTTGTGTTTTTATTATTTTCATTCTCTGTAATGTTGTTGAAAGTGTAGTGCAGTGTTGCAAACTGGCGTTTTGCTAGCTTGAGCTGAAGTCCACACATTTAAAGTTGCCAACTTTGAAAAACACTACTGTAAACTGTTTCAGTATACACAGGTGAGGCCTGTTAATATCACCTGCAAAGCATTTCACTCCCTCTGAGCTTCTGACTGATTACTGGCTGTTATTTTTTATTGACTTTTAGTACTAAAATGATTTTTTTTCCTATCTGCAAAACAAGAAAGCACCAGAAGCCAGAGCATCGTGATATTGGAGGTGGAACCAACTGCACAATCCTACTTTTCTTCCTGGCTGCATGGAATACTTCTAAAGAAACCTTTTACAGTGGGATACTACAGCAGATATCTGAAACTTAAATAGTTATGCAACACTGGATATTGCTTACCTTCTGAGATTATGTGGGATTTGTAAGCAACTCTTGGTACATACAAGATAGTTTAACTTTGAAGAGTAGATGGAACTCTCTTAGTGACTGTAATCTCTTCCAGAGGGTGGATGGATTGATGAATGAAAGGACAAATTATATTATTGTTATATATTTTTGCATTATTCCATTCAGCTACCAGAGTTAATACATGCTTTTAAGCAATGTTCCAAAAAGATTAGCTATTGTATATGTGAAAAACAGCCAGCTACTTTGTCATCAGAATTAGTTTCTAATCTCCAGATCTCATATGCATGATAATTTACTTTGTTTTGCCCATTAAAAGTATCACAAAAATTTTAATATAATAACTTCCCTATTCAGTTATCTATATAAAATACTGTTATCATTTTAATTCGGGGAAATTCTTTTATACCCTTAAAAAACAATGAAGACACAAAATCATTATTTAGTGATGCTTTAACAAATGCTATTCACTTGCATATCAAAGTTTTGTGAGATGCATACATTTTTCTGCAGTCATTAGTGTTTTATTCATTTATAAGATCTGATTTTATCCAGGTCAAACAAACTCATGGGAACAGGGAGAAATCTTTAATGTTATCATTAGCTATCTAATCTCTTATTTTCTTGTGAAACTGTGATTTTGCATGACATTAGTTAGGTATCCTAAAATGATTTACTTCATGGAAAATAGAAGTTAATCCTATATAATGGCTCAAATACCAACAGTCAAATCCACTGTCCAGAGTCATATGCTTTTGTTTTATATACCTTTTCCTTTGCAGAAAAAAAACTATTTATATATCTATTTGAAATTTGGCAAGTTATTCCCCACATTTCTATAATTCCATGAAATTCCTCATAATGTTTTTTTTGTCTATAAATGTCCCATCCTGCTGAAAAAGTTGCAGTCATTTCTTTTTCCAATATGGGACAATGAAGCATTTCTTCTTTACAGACAACCAAACCAAGTTGGAACAGACTTTCTTTGGAATGATCCTATTAGATCAGGGCAGTTTTGGGATTGTGAAATGGACTCTCAAACTACACTAAATGGTATTGACACTGCTAGCATCAGAAGACTGAATGACAAGCTCACTACAAAATCTTTCAAATCTTATTGCTTGTCAATTTTCTACATAGAATATCTGTCTTTAAACAAAGTATTAAATGCCCAAAGCCATTAAGTTATGCACTGTCATGAACCTAACTGGAAGATAAAACAGTAAATGTATCCAGGACAATTTTTTAAATAGTGGATAAAATCAATCCTGATATTTTTAAAATGTTGTTATACGTCTCCTTGACTAGGTTTACACAACATTTGACTAATCTAAAATAGCTAGATTGAAACTGATAGTTTTTAATTCAGAAAGTTGTAAGAAACTCAACTCTTGACTTAGCAATGTTTCTTAAGTTTTAGTCATCTTAAACTCTCATTGTTTGGCTTGCACACATTGTATAAACCACTAATTTTGCTTTGTAACCTGGTGTAAAAGCATGTTATAAAAGACTTGGAAGGGATATATATATAGGACATAATCTTACATATACCTCCAATCATCCATTATCTTATGAAAAGTAGAACTAGCAGGAGTTCAAAGGGAAGGAACCAACTGAAAATTGCTCATAGAAGCACTAGGAAGATATCATTTGCAACTTGAAAAATGATTTGGTTAAGAGCTCGTTGTAAAATGTTCATTTGGAATAAGCCATAGCTTTCTTGAATGGTGTTCTACCTAATAATGGTTATGCTTTCTGAACAGAATGAAACCAGCTCATGTTTCAAAGATGAGACAGAGACTTTCTTTCTAGTTATTGAGTACAAAATCACAGTACTCCTGACAAGACATCAATTTCCAGAATGCAAAGGAAAAGGTGAAACCCTGTCAAAAATCACTAGAATGAAACAGGTTCAATCCTGATGGCGTTGATGAACATCAGATTTACTTTCTTTTGTTCATGTAAATAACTGTTATATATACTGCAACACAGATACAAGATCTACTGTTTGGACTCTCCATTTTATTATTGATAAGATAGTGTGTGTATGTGTGTGTTGCTTAGGCTCATGATATAGAAAAACATAACTAGAAAACAATTAGACAAAAAAAGCCTATTTAGCCTATCATCATATTTCTCATCAAGTACATGATTCTAGATAGAAGAAAATAAGAATAACAGCTGTTACTCTTAGCAACTGAAATTCAGAGGCATTATTTATGCTAGAAATAAGATTTAGCCTTATGCTCTATAAAGGAATTCAGTTTGGAGGACATCCCATTATCTTGCATATGCAAAGAATTAGTTTCATTTAACTGCTGTGAAGTTACTCCTGTTCCACTTGAATGACATCCTGCTTGCAGGAAAGCCTTTTCTTCCTATCTTTTTCATAGATCTCTGTGTGTCTTCTTAATGTTTAAACAATATCTTCTGTCAACAAACAGCTAATTTAGTGAAAAGCAAAAGCAAAAACAGAAAAAAACCATAATAATTCCCTAGCTAAAATTATACATTTGAAACCATATGCAATCTTTCAGTTAGCAACCTTCAGCAACTACAGATACAGTATCCACACAGGTTGCCTAAAATACCAATGGAAATTCTTTTGATATTATTGAAATCTGATTGCAAAATGAACAATTCCCTTAGGGAATTATTAGACTCTGCTATCTTACAAAGTTGTGATCCATCTGAATGTTGTTATGCATTAATATAACTATAGGTGTGTTTTGTGATTAATAACAGATTAGGTAAACTGAGAAGGCATACTGGCCACGGTTCTTATTTCCATACCTTAAGCCATCCTTTTTTCAAAGGTAATTTTTGGTTAGCCTTTAATTAAAGAATATATTACTGAGATGATTAATTTTGTAGGTCATTTCTGATTATTAGAAAACAGTTTTAAGCCTCTTTTTCAAATAAATATGATTGTGGAGGAGGGGGAGGAGATGATTTTTTTTTAAAAAAATGAATGAGTTGATAATTGTGCTTAATTCTCAAGTATTCTGCATATGAGTTTAATTAGATTAAAAAACAAGAGAAGAGTGTAAGGGAAGGCCACACTAATTTATTGATTAAAATAAATAAAAAATCAAATCAAATATGGGTAGTATAGTCCAGCCTTCTCCAACCTGGTACTCTCTACATTTAGTGGACTACAATTCCATTGTTTCAGCCAACATCATTTCCCCTGGCTAATATCCCACTCATGCCAGTATATGAAACCATCAGTCATGTCCTCAACTTCATGCAGAGACTACATATGGGGAGAGCGGAGAGTTAACTAATCTACCATCAGTGGATCTTTGCCTAACACTAAGAGCTGCACTAGGTTCTCCATGCAATAACATATGATCTTTCATATGATGCACTGGAAATTCTTCTTCTTCTATCACCAAAGGGGTGGGTTTTCTTTTTGTCATGTTCCCATATTAATAGAACTGTACAGCTTAGAATCCCAGCTAGTCCTTTTGCAAAGGTACAAAACTGAGCAAAATAATCTGGAAGAGAACCAGATAAAGTTAAGGACATTTCTCCTTAACTGAATTAATGCAAGTTATGCATTTGGCAAAATCAGTTTTGCAAGTAATTGTAAAGGGGTGTGCAAGACAGCAAAGTCAACGGGGAAGCCAGATTTACTCAGCAATCATGTTATTGTCTTAACAACTGCTGTGATTCACTTAAGAACAGTGGCAAGGAAGGTTGTAAAGTGGGTTAAAATTCATTTAACAACTGAAATTTTGGGTTCAGTTGTGGTTATAAGTTGAGGAGTACTTCTACTTACTGTAGAATGTAAGTATTGATTGTATTCTGCCAAAGGTCTATCTGGATTGCTAATAAAACTTTTGAAATTTATGACTTAATGTGATTTCACTGGGAATTCAAAAATGCATTTATGGATAAAACAAAGTCTAGATGTAGTTTATTTATTTTTTTATAAGGCTGGTCAGAAAACATTCCCAATTTGATGAGAATTTAATAACAAATGCCATATCAGCTTTTCTGAGAAGAAATGAACAAGTGATATATTTTTTGAAAAAAGCATTAACAAAATGAAGGATACAGGTTTGTTAAGCCTGATATCCAGGAAATTCTTAGTTTAGTCACTGACTAAAGGGAGCTAAAGGGACAGAGGCAGACAAAGTGGCCAATCTAATTTTTTACAAATTACGCTTTTTAAAATCACCAATGAAGTTAAATTGTTTTCCTCTCATGTAACACTGCTTAGGCATTCCTAAAGTTTCCTCTTGTAATACAAACTTATCTTAAACTAATGGATATATACGAGCCAAAATCCCCCAAACAGCTCCAAAATCAAAGTATTGAATGTTTGAAGAATGAGGCATTTTGTTTTGTATTTCCTTTGCCATGGCATTGGGTTCTTATTGTACAACCCTGTACAGTACTTCTTCAATATATATATATATTTATATATATATTTATATATATTTTAAAGATTTAAAAAGCAAAAAGTTACAAAACTGTTTGCAATTAACTTGAAATAGAAAAGATAGCACTTTTTTTAAATCCCATTATATAGTACACCATATAAATTACAGAGTATTCAAATGCACAAATGCATTTGTGTAACATTTATCAAATGTAATTTTTGTTGATTTGTGTGTGAGTAGATTAATTTTGCTTGTTCCCTCTGAGTTTTTGCTTGTGGTAATATTGCCTCACCACATACCTCACTATCACGTATGACAGTGTTCCAGGTCTGAGACATTGCTGTTGCAATATCGCATATTGTTGGGGATGTGGCAGTCTGTGTAGTTAATGCCCCCATTTGGGGTATATATAGGCTGCAATCTGAAATCTCCTTTAAGGAGCTGATCATTATTTAAGGAGACAATCTGAAAGCTGGTTTCTGTCATCTCCAGGATGGAGTTGTCCTTCTTGGTTCCTGCCTCACAGTAGTCATCTTTCCGTCGCCCACGGTTGTATTTCCACTTCTGAGAGGTGTAGCGTCCTTTTTTGTGCATGTGCCAGCAGAAGATACTAAGCAGAACTACTAGCACAAATACAACAGCCCCCCCAATTAAGCCTGCTAACAGAAATGGAGAACCAAGGTTATGAGAAGTTGTCTGTTCATGGCTAGAAGCTGAGTTGCTTCCATTATTCAATAGGGAAGCTTTCGTTGTGCCTTCTGAGCACACAGTGTCCTCACCAATGCGGTAATTATTAAAATCATCCAAGGGAACCAAACAAATCCGGTATGTGGATTTGGGCTCTAAATTTGTCAAGCTGATATTCTGCCTCTTATCAGTAACTATCCGTTCCTGAATAATGCCTCCTTCCAGACTATGACCCATTTTAACCCAGGTAAGCTTGTAGGCCATCACATTAAAGAAGGAATGCCAGCTCACTTGGATGCAAGTGCCATTCACAACGTGGATAAACAGCTGAAATCGTTCAACAGTGGGAAGGGTCATTTTTTCTTCATCATTCCTCTCAGGCACAGTGGGGAGTGTGGCTATAGTAGGGGCAGGAAGAATGTTTGTTTGTTTGTTACTTGGGGTTAAGTATGATGAAGTAGGAACCATCATGGTTGGCAAAGATGTTGTGGGAATATGGGTAACAAATGATACATCTGGGATAGTTGTGGGGCATGACAACATGTTCATGTTGAGTTCCCTGACAGCCATACCTCGGACTTGTTCTGGTCCTTGACACATGAATCCTCGGACATTGATGGAGGAAGGAATTAATTTCAGCCATTCAGTAACCCATTTAATACTACAATCACATAGCCAGGGATTATTCCTTGCTGTCAGTTGCTTCAGGCTGTGAAGATTGTCAAAGACACCTTTAGACAGCATCCGAAGTTGATTGTTGGAAATATCAAGTCGTTCCAGGTGATGAAGATTTGAAAAGGCTGAAAGTGGTATGTTTGATATCTGGTTGTCCTGTAAATAAAGCCTAAGTAGATTTGTACCTGGAAGATCGGGAGGTGGGTATGTCAATGAATTTCTTATTATAGAGAATTCCTTAAGTTTGGATAAGTGGCTGAAAGTGCCATCTGCAATTCCTTTATTTGTAAGGAGATTACCATCCACTATAAGACGTTCCAAACTTGTGAGATTCTGAAAGGCCATGTCTGATATGATGGCAATTCGATTTTCATCCACTCGTAGTTCTTGTAAGTCCATTGGAAGGCCAACTGGTACACTGCTTAAGTGATTCTTGGATAAGAATAGAAGCTTCAGGCTAACAGCTTCCCGGAATGCCCCATCCTCAACTCCAACAGTAGAGATAGAATTATCATCCAGATGAAGCTCTTCCAATTTCAAGAGTTGTGCCAGAGCAGCCCTAGAAATGGTCTGGATGTTGTTTTCTTGCAGGTGGAGAACCCTGACATTCCTGGGGAGATTCATAGGGAACTCATCTAGCTGGTTGCCATACAGGTAGACTGTGTGCACAGACTGGACATTGTGAAGTTCTGCAGGAAATCCAGCATTATTAATTTGGTTATTGTGGAGGTAGAGTATGGTTACACCCTCCGGTATTCCAAGAGGCACTGAGGTCAAACTTCGTTCATTACAATAGACAAAGTTTCGGTCGCAACGGCATACACTTGGACAGGCCAGCGCTTTGGAAAACTGCACATACAATCCCAGAAAAAAAACAAGCCAGGATTTCAAGAAAGCATACCTGTCCATGGGCCACATTCTAGTCCACGGGCCCATTTCTAACTGAAGAAAGAAGGGAGAGTTGAGCAAAAAAGAAAAAGAAATAAAATTAAATAGATGTTGTGTTTTGTCCTCTGTGCAGATGTTATATTCTTAGAAACTAAATGCAAAATAATCCTTATACAATTGGACTGTCCTTCAGTCTGCTTCTGAAAATCACTGTGCTGTTAGCCAGGTTTACACATTTTGATGCCTTCCTCCATGTATGCTAAATGGAAGAGTAAGTATGTTCTATACAGAAGGCCAATCCTCAGTGTGAAGTTCCAAACGTTGACAGGAGACAGGATGGTTGGATTAGCTTTTCCTTTCACTCTGGCATTAGTAGTAAAAGTGCTCAGGTTCCTTCCGTCTAAAAGGCATTCATTTCAGCTGGGTTTGAGAAATCTGTTGAGAGAGAAGAGGGAAGAGAAAATTAAAAAGGCTGCATTGTTAGTTGACAAACATCCTGTGGAGACAAGTCCATTAATGGTGTGAATTGGTAACATAAATAAGCCAGACCACATTCATAAATAATTCAAACTAACAATTCAAACTAAACAGAAAAATCAACTGGGAAATGAGAATGAGTAATGGGTTCCTATGATGTGGACATGACAATGAATCAGGTGTAACAATAAGTAGTAGAAACAAGAGAAAAAGCAAGCTAGGAACATATATATTCTGGGGAATACAATTTGTTTCTATTAGCGGAAGCGGAAGTGCCAGGATCAGCGCTTCTTCAGGGCTGTCAGGGCTCAGAGGAAGCACCAGGATCAGCGCCAGGCTCCAGCTGGATCTCGATGCTGATCCTGACACTTCTGCTGAGCCCAGAAGAAGCACCAATCAGCTGGAATGTTGCAGCATCTCCAGGGTCTTGTGATTTACATTCAGATGCTTGGCAACTGATTCATATTTTTGACGGTCACAGTGTCCCAGAATCATGTGAAGTGACCAAAACCTTCTGCAACCACCCAGCAGATGAGGGGAATAAAAACCAAACACCCCCACCCCACCCCCGCTACCAATCCTCAACAGAAATGCTCACAACAATGAAAACCTTGGACAGGAGAAAGAGTGCCGCCGGGTGGGCAGGCAAGTGTCTTGCTCGGCTGTGGGGGGCACTTTTTTCAGTGCCATTGTAACTTCGAACAGTCACTAAGCAAACTGTTGTAAGTCGAGGACTACTTCATCACTTTTTTTCCTTTTTTTTGTCATCAAGTTTTTGACATCTTGCTAGGCGACTGGTGGTACTCGGATATTGCCATATCCTAAAAGTGGTACAATGGGTGAAAAGGTTGAAAATCCCTGGACTAGAAGTTGAAGACTCTCGCCTCCCACTCAGAGAGTTCAATCCTAGAAAATGACAAATGTTTCTCAGGTGCATAGAGAAAATATCTGCTGTGAACTCCAATTAGGCATCAGGAAGGGCATCCGAATGGTAAACACTCACTCCATTCAGTTGCCCCAACCGCACCCTCAAGCAAGGGATTACAGGGTCATAAAAAGAAAAACAAAGGTTATGTGAAACAGAATGGAATATAGGCAATTTCTCCCATTTATGACTTGGAGGGATGTAATTCAAGATCTTTTAATATTATTCAGAGAATTGTTTTTATTAAGACAACTATTAAATTTCAAGTCTTCCAAACACCTTCCTGAATTTCTCATGTTAGTCTGTCTCTTTACATCCATTTTATATAGAATCACTATATCAAAGGTCATGCTCCCTGAGATTGTATTTCAGACAGCACCTCCACGTCAATCTTATATAGAGCTTTTTCATTGGATGGTGGCAAAAGCATGACTTCATACTTTGAAACTATGGTAATTTAAACTTTTATTAAAGCAGCAAGGATAACAGCAGTAATTTTATATCACAAAAAAGCTTATGCTAGACTTCTTTGCAATAAGGTTTCTGTGTGAATGCACAAAGCTAGAAGTCACAAAATTAAGGCACTAGGAATCAACACTGCAATCTGCAGTTTGGAGAACATTTTCCTGCACTGTTAGGTTTTCCATTACATGTCAAATATTCTTTAATTTTGCTCTCTCTTTCTGGCTGTATTCATTTACTTAAATTTAAAAATGAATTTTTTTACTTCCTTAAAACATGCTGATAAAGATTTTATTCAAGATTATTTACCATTCAGTTATGACTAATAATTTCCATGTTTTATATATTTTACATGTTTAATAGTTAATGCTGTATAGAATTTAACAATTAATTTATTTAAGTGAAATGCTGAGCAAAGTGCTACACAAATTTAACTCCCAGTTTCTCTCGTGTTTTATAAAGGCAATTAACAACTGTCACAAACTATATTGGATGAGGGAAATGTCAGCATTATCTATCTATATATTTCTATGTAGGCATAGGCATATAGAAAAGTATATACACCAAAGGGAAACCTTCCAGCCTTTATCTTTCTTATTACAGCTCACAGTACTATGTAACACTGAAATACTGATCTTACATAGATTTAGAAATTTGTTACATATAGCGAATAGAGCAAATTATATGAAAATCTTTTAACTTCAAAATTAAAACTGCTATGAATATAATCTGGATACAAGAAAGAAAATTCACTCCTTTCTCCATGTTGCTATACTTGCATAAACTCAGCAGACTGCCATTAATAGAATAAAATTATTCTGCTTTTGCCTCACATTCCCACATTATGTAAAGCATAATGTAATAGTTGCTATGTTGGACATAGTTGATTTTAGCCATATGGTTTATATGGTGATTTTCATTACCTTTCAATCAATCCTAACATTTTTGTTTGTTGGGTTGAGTGATGAGGAAAGAGAGAAAGTTCTATTTGTATTGCTTTCAGGATCTAGATCTAACAAATGAATATTATTCATGTAATGTAGTGACATATACTATATGTGCCCAGACATTAACACACATGTGCATGTGTTGCACATGTGTGCGTGCACACCCAAACACATATACAGAGTTCAAATTCTGAAAATAAATCAGCAAATTCAATATTATGGACTGAGGAAATACATCAGACGCCCTCAATATATTTCTGGTAAGCTGAAACTCAATAAGAAAGCAAGTGATATCCTATATTTCAGTTTTCCCTCAAATGTCAGAAAGTGAGTGGGGGTAGAGAGGAACAGTATGTTCGTACACAAAACCCAGGAGAAACATTTCTCTTTTGCCTTCAAATTTCTAAAAATCTCGCTGCAATCTGGAGTAATTTAACCACATGATCTTATGATATTAAAACTTACATTATTGCCTGATGCTAGAAGGCAAGACTATAAAGATGATTCACCTTCTCCTTGTTCGTATCCTTCTTGACACAATTTTAATTACACCTGTCTTTCTGCCTCATTTACTAATGGAGTTCAGAATTAAAATGGAACAAGCCAAAGCCGTAGGCATGAGATGGAAAAGGCAAATTGATGAATGAGAAAAGGGAGATGAGGATTGAACACAGGGGAAATGTGGTAAGTGGAAGAAGGACTAATAACCAGCACATTATAGCTTTACTGTGCATGTGTCCACTGTCAGCCTGATCAATGGCTGCATTGTTTCCATCTGCAATTTCCTTTGTCAACTGAGCATTCTTCAGGACAAAAGCTACATCACCCACTATATTTATAAAAGCAAGTCAGAGAAATAAATCCACAGGAGAAAAATAGTTATTCAGCGCCAAGAGTGGAAAAGATTAGTCAATATAGATCTATAATAACAAACTAAGAATAAGCAGTAAGATATAGCGGAGCTTGTTTGATTTCAGATTAACACAATATATGAATCCAGCCATTCTGAGTAATAAATACCCCAGTATAGGATTTAGTATTACATTTATATCTGGCCATTACTGTTATTTAAAAGCTATGGGTAAAACAAACTATGGTTTTGCATAATGTGTGAACTCAAGCCTGTATCTTAAACAAACAGCTACCATGGATATTTAGTTAGGGAAAATCTCAATCAAAGAGAGAAAAAGTTCTATGTTAATTTTAATATTTTTCCTTTTAATTTTCTTTTCTCATTCACACCCCGGCAACAATTTTTCAGTACACTGGGGAACAGATTCCAGCCCCTCACATTTTATTGGTTTCCTCCCTCTTACTCATCCTGATTCTCACTGTTTCCTTCTTTCATTAGTAGTCAGATTATGCTGACCTCTCTGAGTTGGATCAGTGCTACAACATTACTGGCAATTACCAGTTCCTACAGTTTGAACTGTTAAAATCAGAATAGCTGACCCAGTTTCAGCTTATGGCAGCACTGGTCCCTGGATGAGCTGATCAAGTGCAAATGGAAATCGGTATAAGATGACTGAAAATGTATACGGCATAGGCTCAAAAAATTGTTGAAAATTACCCCTGAGCAACATAATACATATTCTAAGATCAGCAGTATTCCGTCAGGAATGCAGTGTTAAGCAATACAGTCTCATTCCCTGGAGGATAATTTCAGAAGTGAACCTAGAGGGGGATATATCAGTAAGAGAAAACAAGAATCAAAAAGAGGAGGGGAGCATATTTTGAGGGCATTTGTTGCAGAAAACAAGATATATTTGTTCTTAAGGAATGATGTTCTCAGACACTAGGGATGTCTTTACACTAGCCAAATCTATTTACCAGTTTTGTTCATTTTGTAAACAAAGAAATGTTCAAGGATTTAGGACAGCAACACCAGCAGCATAGCAAATGACCAAACTGTAGAGAAGAATTACAATCTCTTTATCTTTCTACACTCTACCTAGCTGATAGGAATGCCACTTTCCCAAAGATTTACTAAGATGCTATTCAAAACTAAGGAGTAGGTACGAACTGCTGATATTTGCAAACATTATGGTGGTGTAAAGCTTTGAAGGGATACTTTGTTTTGACAACAGAATGAAGCACCTCCTGAAGCTGCTTTGCAAAGCAATAGGGGCCCCCCACTTATAGAAAGTCAAGATCCTGCATTGCTTTTGTTTTTTTCTTATTTTTGACATCTTCACCAGAAAGTTCCAATAGATTCACACAGACAAACTTTTCTTCAGTGTACTCACAACACACTCAGTAATCCCTTCTAGCTACTAAAAAGGCCAAAGGAAGCCTCAGAAAGAATGCAAAGTATTTTGAGATTAATTGAATCCTTACTTTGCTCTGTCAAGATGAAGCAGAGTTATCAAAAAAGTTTTGTAAATGTCCAACATCAGTTGGTTTTATTTTTGCCTTTCCCTTCCCTTCATCTTAACCTGTTTGGGAGGGAGGGAGGGAGGAAGGAATGAAGGAAAACATGTTTACTCGCTTCTTTATATTAGTGCAGCTTGCATGTGAGAAAGAATTATTGATGTACACAGATGAGAGATTATTTTTTTATGGGATGATTTTATTTAGTGAATTAAAATCTATCTCAAGTTGAGCTTGACTCTGAGTTTTCATTG